CAGAATACAAAGTTTAAAGAGGGAACTGAGAGAGCTGCTTAGTTTGAGTCATTCTCCACTATCTGTCCACAATAAGCATTAAAAACTTAAACTAGAATAAATAATTAAAAGCTTGTTTAACATATGTCTTACTTACACGCCCCTTTTTAATTGTATATATTAAATAACAACTGTTTAGTTTTTCTCATCAAGTTAAATTATTGAATTATTTTAGGTTTTCTTATATAAAAAAATGTTGTTAAAAAAATTAACAAAATAAAGGAAATCAAAGAGAAATGTTATTCTGATTAAAGCAATTTAAAAAATGAAATCAGATTAAAGTTTTATCTTGCATAATTCAATTCAATTTATTTAAAAATATCCACAGATGTTATAAAATCCTCTTTTAAAAAGTTATTTTCTCCAGATATGTGAAAATAAACAGATTCTGCTACAATGAAATCATAGAAAACTAAATAAAAAGCGGAGTGAACTCATCCTGAGTTTAACCAACTGCTCATTATTAAAGGATAAGGAAAATAAAAACACAGAGAAATGATGAAGAATTATTACCTCATGAGTTTTTTCCAACCCGTTGCAGTAAAAGATGTTTTTAAGTAAATTAAATCGGATCTGCAGAGTTGTGGTTCGGTCCGGGCTGTGATAAAGCCAGCGGCTGCACTGCCATCCTCACTGCAGAGGGCCCAGTCTAGTATAGGGGTCTGCATTAAGCCCACAGCTGTAGGGGGCAGGCACACTTCCTGTTTGGGGTTTTCAAAATAAAATAAATCAAAGGCGTTTTGGGTCCATTTTTGTCATTTTCATTTTCCTCAATTTAAGGAGTTTAAAAACACTAAAACTACCTGTTTTAAGTCATTTGGGGGAAGTGGTGTCAAAAGTACACACATTTTTTACTCAAGTAGAAGTATAGATACTGCAGTTTAAAAAAAAATCTGGTCAAAATTGAAGTATCAACTTGACCTCTTTACTCAAGTAAAAGTGAAAAAGTATGCGCTCCAAAAACTACTTAAAGTATAAAAGTAAAAAGCAACCTTTAACCGTTTTTTTTTTTACATTTGGCCCTTGATTTTATTACATCATTATTCCATCATGTTCTACTCACCCATATGAGTTTTGTGTCATTTGGAGCCATTCTGAAGATATTCCGTTAGGTTATATCCAAGTAACGTCTTCCTATGTTCAACGACATGAAGGCACAAACTAAACTGTTCATCATTTATTCTTTATGGTACGCCAGCATTCAGAACATGGAGGCCAATCACTGTCCCCCAGACATCCGCGGATATAACCTAAGGGAATATCTTCAGAACGGCTCCAGATGACACAAGACTTATATGGGTGAGTAGAACATGATGGAATAACGTAAAATCAAGGCCCCAATGTAAACATTTTTTTTTTTTTACATTTTTACAGAAATTCCCCTTTAAGATAGAAACTGCAAAATCAGCATGAATGGAACAACTTATTGAGGTTGTTGGGAGGAGTGTTGGTTCTAGAGTTCTCTAGCTGCTGGGAGGAAGGATCTGTGATAACGCTCCCTGGTGCATTTAAGGTGCAGCAGTCTGTCACTGAAGGTTACTTTTCATCTGAGGGAACATCCAAACAAACCGTTAGAGGCCTGTTCAGGCAAACCCCAAACTCTGCTCTCAGGAGGTGAGTAAATGAACCTGCATGTAAGTAGTGAGCCTGTCTGATTCATTTTGGGTCCAATTTCCACATGCCTGCAAGTTTAAAAGTTAAATTAAGCAGTTGCATGTAGGTATATACAGCAGGAGATGTGCAAACATCGTACTGTTCTAGAAGGGACAGGTTGTGTCTCCGACAGTTGAAGTGGTTTTAGAATAGAATAGAATAGAATAGAAAATCCCTTTATTGTCCCACAATGGGGAACCTTTAGTGTTTACAGCAACAAAAACATTGTAGAAAAAATTGTGACACAAATGTGGACCCTAGAAAAGTGTATAAGAAT